TATCTACCTACCTTTATGGTTAAAGTAAAAGTGTCATTGGTTTCTCTGTCAAGTGATGATACCGTGGTTATCTTTCCTGTTGTTTCGTTTATTGCGAAGAGATTCACTGGAAAATATTCAGAAAAATAGAAAGATAAACGAAGAATCCAGTGCATACTTGCTTACCGCTGCAGGCWCAGGACCTGTTTTTTCTCTTCGAATTTTAAGATACCTCATGATTTTTATTCATTAATTCATTTTGTTTAATGAAATTGAAAAGAACATTAATTTGAATCTTACTTTCATTTCCAGCTGTGATAGAATAAGAGACTCGTGCATTTTCATCAATATCCTTATCTGTGGTAGAGAYAGTTCCAATCAAGTGCCCGCTGGRTACACTCTCGWCRACTGCAAATGAGTATCTCTCTTGGTTGAATACAGGTGAGTGGTCATTGACGTCAAGCACTGTTACTATCAACTGCAGGGTAAGCACAAATTATTTGTCTGTACAAACATCAACACTGACAAAAACATTATGCCGTTAAGGACGTTCGTGGGCAAATTCGTTTCCCATGTCTGTTTTCCTCAAGCTTTATCAATTAATAAAATAAAAGATGGGAATTACGGTGTTGATTTGACCTTGAAAAACACAGAGGTAATACAGCCATGCTATATGCGCAAAAGATACGCGCACAAACAATGCCTTTAAACGTCCTTAAAGCGTACTTTATCTATACAATTGAAGGACAATAGACGAAATAGTTTCTTACATTGGCAGATCCTTCTCTTGGTCTTATGGCCCCGTCAACTACACGCAAAGTCAATGTATATGATTCAACTGCCTCACGATCCAATAGTTCGTTTGTACTTATATTACCCTGTAAAATATAAAGGCCATGATAAGACAAAGCATTCAATGGCATTGTCAACTGAAAATAGTAAGTAAAGTTGTTTTGATAGCTCATTACATTCCTCTCAATCATAATGAATGTGAGGTTAACATCAACATATTAAAAAATCACACTTTTTCTTGATTAAATTTGAAATAATTTTGATAATATTAATTTTGGTAAGKGTCTATTGGTCTGGAGGATAGTATGCATAAAATTGAGAATAACCACAGCCATCGAAGTTATTTCTGCATGAATCAATAGTTTTTARGTGCAAGGATTTCCTGCTATTTTTCTCTTGTTTTACTCTTGCTTTCGATATCCTGCGATGTTCTTGACTGGCGGCAGTAACAAGCCGTTGAAATATCTGAGTGCGCAAAATATCGAAAACCACAGTAAAGCTTAGTAACATATCTTGCATAAGTGAACATGGTAGGGTAGAATAGTGAGTTTCATAATTACCCTGTCAGAATCGATCTTAAACATCAATCTTGACGATCCACCTAATCCATATTCCAGCCTCGCGTTGCTACCAGTGTCATYATCCKTTGCACTGGCAACGAATACATGAGTTCCTATTGGTTCRTTTTCCTTGACTGTTGCGTAATAAGTCTCATTTGCAAATTTGGGACTATTATCATTGATGTCCACAAGAACAAGTGACACATGGGCAAGAGTTGACTTTGGTGGTACTCCTTKATCAGTTGCTTTGACTGTAAAGTTGAAATAAGGTTGCATTTCTCTGTCGAGCTCAACKTCTCCCTGGGATATCAATCCTGTTWYTKRATTAACTGAAACCTTACTCGTCACGTTCCCCACAATACTGTAAMGAATTTGTGCATTAACGCCTRAGTCAGCATCAGTTGCCGTAATCTTTAGAATACTCGTGTCTTTTGGTGACTGCTCTCTGTAGTCTACGATGTACTCTCTTTGTKTGAAGACAGGGGAGTTGTCATTCACGTCATCGACATCTATCTCCACCTTAACGTTGTTCTCAGACTCTAAACCTTTGCTATCCCTCGCCTGTATCGATAATGTATGCTTCGTAGTGTTTTCCCTGTCCAACGACTTTGTTGTAAATATATCTCCAGTTATGTTATCGATTTTAAACTGCTCATAAACGTCTCCATCCACAATGACATAAYTCACGCWATCACCAACATCCTTGTCTAAGGCTGTTACTCTKGTRACGTTTGTTCCAACTGACGCATTTTCAGGCAACGAAACCATCATAGTTGGTGTACTGAAATAGGGTTTGTCGTCTATGACATCAGTAACTGTTATGTGGATCTGGGYGTGTCCCTCRAAATTAGGTTYGACAATATTGGCTGCCGTAATGTTTAAGATGTAGGAACTTTTGAACTCTCGATYCAGTGAAGAATCAACAATGATGCTGCCTGTAAAAAAGAACAATGAAAAACAAAACACTTAACAAACAGTAACGTTTTTGGTTCTGTAACTTATACCGTAACATCTGCAAGGTGTTATAGGAAGTCAGGATATTTTGTTGCTTTGTGTTTAAAATTTCCGCACAGTTTCTTTTATTCCGGACTTAATCTATGTAAACTTTATATAAGTGAGATACGTCAGTACCGTTTACTGCGTACTTATTTGTCCAGGCATGATAAGTTTTCCAGGAGTCAATCTTGAAATATAATTGAAAAGGTTCTTCAAGATGTTTTACATCTARTYAAATTAAACTCYMTGTCTGCGAGAGACAGTAGAATGATTTARAATACAACCTCTTTACACATTACCATTTTAAATATAATGAATATACGACCAAGTACTAAAACATTTATTGAGTTACCTGTAGATCTGCTAACATAGAATTTTCCATCAGCCCCATTAGAGGTATAAATTATCTGACCATTTATTCCTGTGTCCAAATCAGTAGCTGTCACCTTGGTAACTGTGCTTCCTTGACCGGCATCCTCTGATATATTGGCATAGTATATTGCTYGTGAAAATCTAGGAGGCTCGTCGTTAAYATCTGTTACGGAGATCACTAGTTTAGCAGATGCGTTTTTGTTTCCACCGTCTGTTGCTATGACATCAAGCGAATATGAAGCATTTTTTTCTCGATCCAGTGAACTGCTGTTGCTTGTTGCTATGAYACCAGTGCTGCCGTTGATGTTGAAATGCTCAGCGCCTAAACCTAGATAATGAAACGAATATAGTCAGGACAAAAAGTTTCTTGCTCAACTATAACGAACTAATATAGTAATGACGAGAAACATTTTTATCATGAGCGGAGRATAAGAAATAATAAAGAAAGAAATATTTCTCACATTTTTGTCCCTGCGAAAACTTCCGCATACCTCACAAGTTGATCAATTGTCAGCAATGGGTAGGGGAAKTTGGAGATGCCTTAGGTTCTAGCTTTTTATGGTCTCGTAAATGGTCTWACGTCTRAGATGAGCTCTTTTTGTTTATAATATCCGAATACATACATATAGTATGTTTCCTCATCGGAGCATTTTCTCCTTTCTCACGGTTTTAGTTGTGGGCACAAAATGAAACGTAAGTGACCTTACTTGTGATCACCTAAGATCTAAGAACAAGTATTCGTATAAAACTGAAAAATCCAACACAAACCTTCGAGACTGTAGGTTATTTTCTCATATATGCCRATATCTGCATCTGYTGCATGGATTTCTTTTTTCTGCAAACAAACGGTATTATAAAAGATATCATTTGGGCTCTAAATGGAGATTATATATGTAGCACTATGTTAAATGACTCCCAAATTATTGAGAAAGCCTTAACCAGCGAAACGTCTAACGGCATATTAAACTGCCTGTGCYTGAAGAAGTTTTGCCTTTATATTTGATATCATTATATCCCAGGCATGTCCTCTTATTTCCCGTCAAATGATATTTTATAATTAAAATGTTTATTCGCAGATTTGGACACAGATCGAACTGCCTCTTTCACATAATGCTAAAATACATCATAATTGAACCAACCAGTGCAAGAGTTGTTCCTGRAGGCGAGTTTTCCTTGATATTTGCTGAGAATGGACTTCCTGTGAATTGTGGGCTGTTATCGTTCTCATCGTCTACCGTTATTYGAACCTCTGCAAAATCCTGTTGGAAAAATATCATAAAATTATCAATTGCTAGTTTTGTGGATGCTACTAATTATCATCACTGAAGATGATATATCGGTGGCTTGCATAGCTTTCATGTTGCTGAATTTAACAAAAGATTCATCAACAAAATTGCAAATCACCTTAGATACACCTTCAATCACGATTGTCTCAGGCGGACTATTGGACATAGAAAGAGAAGACACTCTACCTTCCTGCTTGATGGTTGCCCTTGATCCTCAGCCTGYACAGTYAGAATGTACTGTTGAATGACTTCCCTGTCAATGGATGCAGCAGTACTAATCACTCCTGTSACAACATCGATCTGGAATRCATTTTTCTGGTTTCCACTGGAGATCTTGTATGTGACATTGCCATTCMATCCTTTATCTTTATCTGAGGCATAGACAGTRAGTACTGATGTTCCTGTTGCACAATTTTCCATTACTGATGCGGTGTACGTTGATTGGTTGAATTTTGGATCGTTGTCATTGACGTCATCCACGTGAATACCTACAAAGRCCTGGGAAGTATGAYATGGTTTRGGAAAATTATCCACAAAAATAGAAATGCTGCAAAATACAAAGGTCTYATTCTAACACAACTGATATRCTGGTAAAGCTGATAAGCTTAACAACTTCACAGTATTATGAAAGCTATAAAAAGGAGCACTGCTGAAAGTGTTTATGAGTTTGTTAGCAGTAGAAAAGCATAAAGCCAAGGAATACATGGTTATATCATAAGACAATTTGTGGGGCACATTTTTCATCAAAGAACTCTTCATTTAGTTAGAATAAATGTTTCCTATTTACCGTAGAAYTCAATGGAGGCGATCCTTYGTCTTTGGCCAACACAGTGAGATTGTACAGCAAAACATCTTCTGCGTCTAATGGCTTTTCGGTGAAAATGTACCCAGTTTCGGAAATGCCAAACGTACCTGACGACAAAAAAAGTAGTTGGTAAATATAAGATATTTCGTTTTTAAACTATTATATATATGCTTCATATTTCAGGGAGTTCCTTGGAATTTTGGCCATACCAATCCAAAAAAGTGAAGCCCATTTGTTCTATATATGTTGGGCTCACATTCAGCATTTTGCAATTGCGCTCGCAATTCACCTGCTCCAAGTTCTAAGGTATGAAAAATAGTTAAGAAMCCGAGTTGTAGAGGACTGTGAGACTCTCCTTCGAAAAGGTGACTATGGAGAAGAGTTTTCTAATATTTAATGTTTAGCTGTCTTTCCTATTTCTTTCTTTTTAACTTCAATTTTTATGTAATTTTAGTGCGTTCATTACAGATCTAAACAGTCCTAGCCAGGTCTACCTTGCAGTTGTCTAAGTGTTGGTTYAAAATGCAAGTGATGCGACGGTGATAAAAACTGATATACAGTCAATTCCAAAAATGTTGTCGTCGACCAACTCAAGTCTACGCGACTGGACCGAAAGGAACTCTGGTTAGTAATCATTGAAGCCGAGWTGACTCCATAATTTTATCTGACTAGTTATGCCTGGTTTACAGCACGAACCTTCGTAGGCGAGAGGGAAGAGTTGAAGGAGACGTTTTTTTAATGCCTTCATATTTTCGAAATTGTGAACTGAATCATAACTACTTTGTTTTTCTTTCCCTAAACCCAACGACATGCATTTGATGGATTGTTTCTCGCCATTATTATCTTATTACTAGCGGGAACTATTTAATTCAAAACGAATGTTTAACCGCTTCAGTGATTTTTACCCATATTCCTTTCGGTCCAGTCGCGTAGGCTTGAGTCGGTCGACGACAACGTTTTTYGAATTGACTGTATTTAATTTAGTCTACAAAAATAAGTGAACGAATACGAAGCATTTTTAGCGCCTTGTTTATTTACCATTTGGATCCCCATTAGTGATGTTGTAAAGAACTTTTCCTGACAATTCTAAGTCCTTGTCTAACGCAKATACTTGGAYCACGTTGCTTCCGGTTCGTGCAGCCTCGCTTACGTGTTCTTCAAAGCTTTGTTTCTGGAATTTGGGCGAGTTATCGTTGATGTCCTTTACCTTAATAGTTATCTAAAATGAAATCAATATTCTTTTTATTAGAATAAAGACTTTGCGCCATCACGTGATGGTAGCCATGACAGGAGGCACAAAAATAGAATCTTTTCCCCCTGAGAATCTGAATTCTTTGTCATGTCAACCAAATTAGACCAGGCTTCTCTATAATATGCACTACGCATAAACTTGAAGTGAGTTCAGTCTTTCCAAACATTTCCACGGCATCGAAACGGCATTGATTATCCACTTTTTTTCTTACTCAATACATTTTGTATTTATGGAACAAATGTGGAAAAGAGTCCACAATTGGGGGTAAACAGTAACTGACAAATCTCTTACCCTCACAGTCGCGGATTTCCTGACTGAAACAGGTTGTGCCTGGTCAGTTGCTGTCACGTCCAGCAAGAATTGACCATTATTAGAAGCATCTTTAGGCATTTGTGTATCTTCTCGGTCAAGCACTTTGACAACAGTCAACTTTCCCTGATTCAAATAAGAAGCATCAGTTC